TGAGGTAATTATCACCTGGCTATGGCACTCAGTAGTTGCAATCCTGTGGCAGTGTGAAAGGGTCCAAAACCTCCAATTTGAGGCAAAAAAAGTATTTCTATATTCATTCAAGGGGGGGGCAGCATCTGGGTGCCCCCTTAATAAAAGGGGTACCCCAATGCAAATAAGTCCCCCTGCCCGCAGACCCCTGCACCAACTGGGCCAGGGTTGTGGGGTAGAGGCCCTTGTTGACACCCTCCCAATGTCGAGGGTACATGACCTGGTAAGGTGGGGGTGCTCGATCACCCCCCTTTTCCTGCCCTGCCAGGCCTATGCTCTGATAGGAATTTTAAGGGGGAACCCCACCCCAAAAAATTTTGAAAAAAAAGTGGGGTCCCCCCTTAAAATTCCTACCAGATCTAAAGGGTCTGGTATGTTTTTTTGGGGGGGACCCCACATAATTTTTTTTGTTTTTAACTTGGGAAGGTTTTTTTTCAAAAATATGCTGCCCAGATCCTTCACCTCCAAGTGGTCTGAGACCTCACCCCTAATAAGTAATATAGTTTCCAAACAACTACATGTAGTAGTAATGGTGCTTTAAGAAATGTCAGACTTGCATTATAAATATTCCAAAAAAAATAATTTTAAAGATTAAAAATACATAAAAAAACATCATAACAATTGATTCCCTGATTCTTGCAGAATTAGATAAACAGCATATTGTACAATTATACATTTAAATCATACTCGTCATCCAGATTAAATTAATATATTTTCTTTCCACAAATTGGATGTAATAACCATTGGCCACCAACGCGTTTCACACGTATGCTTCTTAAGGGAGTTTTATACCAAGAATCCTGTATTCAGCCACTTTTCCTTCCTTTCAGTTGGTCTCCTCTGTCTCTCAGAGATGCGTAGCGGCAGCAGAATCAGGGAATCAATTGTTATGATATGTATTTATGAATTTTTCATCTTTAAAATTATTATTTTTTAAATATTTATAATCCAAGTCTGACACTTCTTAAAGCCCCATTACTACTATATGTAGTTGTTTGGAAACTAACTTGGAAAGGGGGGGTCACTCCTAACATTCCTACCAGACCAAAAGGGTCTGGTAGTAATTGGGGGGGAACCTCATGCTTTTATTTCTTCTTCTGCGGACTGTAAAAAAGAAAAAAAAAAGAAAAATTCATACATACTACCGCTAACAAAATTAACGAAAATTCAGATTTCGTCTGAATCCAAATCCTGATACGAATTGACTTTCATACTTGAATCCCAAAAAACAAAATAACGACAAATCTGAATGAAAACAAAACACATTTTTTGCCGGCAGAATTGTAATTCCATCTCTCCACTGAATTTGGTGACAATCTGGCATTTAGGGGAGGCCCTCACCCTGTTGCTAGATTCCTTCTAAAGGCTGTCTGACCCTCTCGTATGTTTCACATCAACTGAGGTCATTGTACCTGACCTACCAAGTATACAGTAGAGTTACTGTGTTATACGCTGAGCCTATACAACACTTTGTACAATCTATGTCATCAATGTCAAGTAAAAAGATGTTACACAAACTTCTATTTATGTATAAATACTGATTACACCAAGGCTAATCTGTTTATATATTGTGTTTCTTTTTCTACCCTCAGAGAAAAAGAAGAAGACAAGGAAATTGCAGACTTCCTCCGCATCAAATTAAAGCCACTTGATAAAGTAACAAGGCCAGCTGCCAGTAAGTTTTTATGCTTTCATTTTCCACCTTACATGAATAAACATGACTTAGCAGACATTCAGGTCCCTTACATATTATAATAAGAACATCAATGATTCTGTACATACAAATTGCTCATCATATCTCCTATACCTAGTTGCATGGAAAAGGTTAGCTTTAGTTATAGAAATCGCATATTAGGGCCTGTTTCTTGTGTCATGTTAAAAACCTAAGTTAGGTACCTGGACGATTCCTGGAAAATAAGTTACCAGGTACTTCAGTGACTTCCTTACAGATTTTCTCTGGCGACCCTAGCCGCAGATGAGTCCAAGGCCATCATTGCAGCTGGTCATAAACCCTTCTAGAGGATGACAGGGCGATGCACATCCGAAGCCACCAACCATCAGTGTTATGGTATTTTTTAGCCTGTATCAGGCCCTGAAACAGGTCAAAAACATTCTTGGACCTCCTCAAGGAGTGACAGAAGTCCAAGTAGTACCAGTGAAACCTACTAAAGCTTTGTCAGATTTAGAAGCCAACTTCCATCCTATGGATGAAAACAGGATAAAAAAGGAGGGACGCCAACCCTCTATTGATATACATGCCAAATTACACATGCCAAATTGCCAAATTGATATACATGTACACACTCGGTCATCACCTGGCTAAGATACCATGGATTAAGGAAGGAAGGCATACATACATACCTATGTGTACACTCACACCCAGACACCAAGAAGGTGAAGAGTTGTTTGAGATTTGTCTAGGGCAGCTGTACTTAGGCTCTTGATCAAAGCCCGTCATATCCAGGACTTCTGACCTTTACAGAAGCCAAGGGCTCACTGGGTAAGTTAGTTCCATCTGGCCAGTTAACCCCTACGTTTAAAAAATTAACTTGATCATTCCCAGATTTTATAGTTGATTGCGCCTCACATAGTGGGTGCCCATACACCTAAGGTAGGCCGCATACAGCTACATTCATACTTGCCATTTGCACCCCCAGCCTCCACGTGCAGAGAAAAAATCTGGCCAGCCAGGTGGCCAGAAATATGCTGCTGTCTGCGTTAAGCACTTACGTACGCATGCATCAGACGTATCTAATATTCTGCCACTGACTGACACATGCATTTACACATGGTGCGTTGACATGTGTCCGGAACAACAAAAGTCAGCATCAAAACCCGGATGCAACTAACCTCTGTCCTTCACAACCACATGTGTAGACAATTCATAGTAAGTCTTAGTTGTATGTATACATCTACACACACTTATTATATATAGATATACACACAATAACGCATGTGATTGCTTTTAACCACACCACAGAGGTGCCCCACACTTCTGGTATATAAAAAATTATAGGCCATGACTTCCGACACGGCAGTAAACATTATCAGTCGTCTTCCCCCGGGAGAGACAAGCCAGCATCTTTGCTCTTACAATGCTCCTTCATCGTATGCTGCACATACATATATAAAACACCCAGAATATAAATGTACACCTAATAGCGCAGTGCAACTGGCCGGACACTGAGCTTATCCGAGGCTATACCCCCTCCTGTAGTCAGAAGGGTCATTCCCCTGAGGAGCAGACCCACCCAGGTGAGATTGAAACCAATTGTGAAACCTCATCTGAGCAGCCTAAGGCTCTGTTCACACCTAGGCTATCGAATATGCCCGTTTGTCGCGCGTTTCCTGAAGCGCGTTTTTACCGCGATGCGCGGTAAAAAAAAAAAACAGGACAAACGCGCGTTTCTGATGGCTACTTGGCTGTATCCCAATGGAAACGCGGGAAAAAAACGCCGCAAAGAAGCTCATGTACCTTTTCAGGCAGAGCCGTTTTGTAGCGTGTTCAGTGGAGTAAAATAACAAACGTTGCGATGCTCCTGTTCGGCCGGAGGCAACACAAAATACTGAGGTGGTTAGGAGGGACCGCCCTTTTTATTCTAATTGTGGATGATGTGTTTCCTGTTTCAGGTGGGAGGATCCCATCTCTTAGAGGCTGCCCTGGACGATGACTGGGGAAATATTGGCACATATATAGTGCAACTGCTAATCTGGCTTTTGACAAAAGGACTGGAATATCAGAGAGTGTCTTTCTAAGATAAAAGCTGTCATTTTTTGGCTTCCAGTCAGCATATTGTCTGATGCTGCTTCAGGTACAAAGACTGCTCTGGCTTTTGCGGCTTCAGCCTTTGCACGTGCGATGGCAAGTGTGTTACTTGTGGATGAGAATCTTGAGGAACCAAAAACTTATTTTGAGTGAAGATGCCCGACTATATGACATGTTGCTTCTGGAATTGCTTGACTGTGTAGAGACTTCTGTATTGTCGTATGCAGGTGGCTGCGCTGACATGTAGCAGGCCTCTGTGTAGTCACTGCTCTGTGTCCCACTTGCTGGGTAGTCACTGTTTCACTGTTCTGTCCCCGCTACACATTACCCTGTGGCTTGTATATGTTGACATGCAGTTAAACCCTGCTATTCTGCAATAAGCCAGACTGGTCAAAATCTTGAAGCTTTATTAAAGTGACATTTAGGTCACGATCCTTCCCCTCCCTCCCCCCCAATGCTGCTTAAGGACTTACCTTAAATGGTACCTCTTGATCCAATCATCTTCTGCCTTCCACTTGTTTTCAGCAATTCTGGCTGGTGTCAGTCTCTGATCCATCACAGACTCCTCGTGTCCCACGGTGTCTGTCCGACATGCATTTACCTGTTTGATAACTTTTTTATTTTTTAAATGTTTTTTGCATATATCTACTGCTTACAAGCAAAAAGTTGTGACTTTAATACTACTTTAACAAAACAGGGTGGATGAAACTGGTGAAAATAACACAAAATCAATATATAACTATGTAAATGAAGTGATAGCTCGCAAATAGAATGCAAAACCAGTCCGTCCCTATCAGCGATGCTGCCATTAGGGGAATCTGGGTGTTTTCTCCGAACATGTGCTCAGGATGGCAATAGATCCTCCTCTACTCGGTTCCAAGATGGAGGCTGAATTCCCAGAACACTCTGATTTTCATCTTGGGCAGGTGGGTCCTGTGTCCAGCGGGTCACTAAGCCCAGAGTCCAGCGGGTCACTAAGCCCAGAGTCCAGCGGGTCACTAAGCCCAGAGTCCAGCGGGTCACTAAGCCCAGAGTCCAGCGGGTCACTAAGCCCAGGGTCCAGCGGGTCCCTAGCAGCGGGTCACTAAGCCCAGAGTCCAGCGGGTCACTAAACCCAGAGTCCATCGGGTCACTAAGCCCAGAGTCCAGAACATCACTAAGCCCGGAGTCCAGAACATCACTAAGCCCAGAGTCCAGAGTCCAGAACGTCACTAAGCCTAGCCCGATACTTTAGCTTCAGACATCAGGAAGCAGGGCAGTGAGTCATTACACAGCGCTCGGTTTCCTGATTAGCCAGAAAGCCGGCTCCATGCTTTCTTGCCGCCTAGTGACAAGAAGCATGAGGACGGCTTCCCTACTAATCGGGAAGCTGGTGGTGAGTCATTGCACGCCGCCCGGCTTCCTAAATGGGACTTCCAATTTCGGTTTGGACGAGTACCGAAAAAAACCCCGGTATTGGTGCATCCCTAATAATAACAGTGTGTGA